TTTCACTTTAATTTTCTTACTAGTCTAATAATGTTAGAAACTAAATATACTTACGTGCTATGTAATATTGGAGTGTAGCAAATTTTGTTTTGTGTGCTTGCAATCGATTTTATTCTGTATTTATCATTGGCAAAATTACTTGGTTTTTTCCCACAAACGTATATTTACATGAATCAATGAAGCATGACTTTTTCATCATGTAAACGACTTTTTCGACCATGTGTTCGTCATAAAATACGTTTCGTTTTTCATATATTCTACTTCTTCCTTTTTTACCTTGCCTTTGCGTTTCGTGTTGTTGCAATGATAAAATATACACTGATACTTGTATAAGCGTAAATTTGAGTTATAATGATTCATTAGACTTTGAACTTTATTCTAATATATATAAGTATTTTCTATCGTAAAATTTTTTTTGAAATTGATAATTATAGAAGTAGTGTTGAAAGCTTCAAAATAAATAAATGAAAAATTTTATATTTTTTATTTTATCGTTCGATGTATGAAAAACTCTATTTATCACTCAAACTTGGTTAGATGCATCCGAAGAAAGTATGGCGAATGTGCTTTAAGAAGACTCAGGCATTTTGAGAAATGGGTGTGAGTGTTTGTATTGCTTATCCCTACACATCCCGACCCTCAATTATTTGGTTTAAATATCTAAGAATTTCAATCATAATCAAGCAATAATCAACAATCAATGAATAGAAGTAAAAATATTGATACAAATCAATAACATCTTTCAATCAGTATTCAACAAATAATGAATGACTTTAATTTCAATGTAAATCTTTTTTTAATGTGTTGATATGGTATGTTACATTTGTTTACAACATAATGATCATAATGTTGTATCAAGTTCATCGCAAACACATGAAATTATACTTAAATATTCAAATTTATTTGATTTTGATCAATTATTAATTTCAACTCAAATTGGATCTATAGAAAAAAACTAGTGTTAGTCAAACGTTACAAACAGGTAAATATTGAGAAAAAAAGGAATTTTTTTTATTTGTGTTTTTTTTTTCTAAAATAATAGCTTATTCAACATGTCAACGTTGATTTATTGAAATGAATGATAAATTCGATTCAACATCAATGATTAATAATGAAAAACGAACGATAAGCTGCTAAACTTGTTAATCAATTATATTTTTTTTTCGATTGGATATATACTTAATATGGATGGTACGATAAAAAGTGATGATGAATCATGTATTAATGTTAAATGTGCTATACCAATATGTCTATCGTATTTATAAACAATTTGATCCATTTGTTTATCTTACTAAAAGTATGTTTAATTCTTGTTTGACTTTTTTTTATAATCCAAAATTATTTCTAATGTCGTAACAGTAGGAGGGCCTAGATGAAGGGGATTGTGGCAGACTTTAGTTGACGTGGCTTCAATTGGTTCAGGTCTCAAAGTTTTAGTGAAAGTTATCTGATAGATATGACAATTTCACTATTAAATTGTTGAAACATATATATATATTGGAATCTGAAAATTCAAGAAAGGAGATTTCTCAATATTGATTCAGCAGCTCTAGTCCTATTCCTACTTTTAATTTTTTTGAAACCAACAAAAGACTAGAATATTATCAGACTCGAAAAGATATCAAGTAGAACATTTTATTGAAGCTCAAAGCCTGCATTGATACATCAGAGATTGAAATTATACAATCACACAACTATCTCAAAAACGTTTTAAGCCGAAGTTCGAGATATGAAATCAATTGTATCCTCTAAGAAGTTTTTCTTTAGTCTTTGAAGATTTCTGATTAAATAAAAATTTTGTAACTAATATGAAATTTCCTAATAAGAAAAATGAAATTCTCATCTCTATATGACTTGTCATACATTAAAATTTATGGAACATCAAGGTATCTTTTTTTTTCTTTTCTTTAAGATATTACATATCTTTTATCTTTATGTGAATACGGTGATCTACATTTACGTGGTACATATGCAAATTGCTTATTACATTAATTCAAACAACAATTCATCTTTTAACACTATCATTATTATCAAATTCATTTATTAATTATTTTATTAATCAATATTCACTTGTATCAACTGATTCACAAGACAGTTCAAGGTTATATGTCTTAATGATAATAATGCACGTGTTATACATGTTTCACTAAATGCTTTACGAACATTATTGCCTTTTTTATTAATTAATAGTCATGCATTTACAATCATAGGAATTAAATTATTAGAAGACTCTATTCAACATACTACAAGTTCCTGTATTCTTGCTAAAGTAGATAAAAGAAATTTATGATTATAATAATTTTTTTTTGTATGTATATAAAATAGGTTAGTCTAGCTCAATTTATAGATGATATTGATTTTCGAATATTCACTTATCTTGAACAACAACAATTAAAACAACAGTACTCTGATACACGTGTTCGTCAAGCAACTGCTTCGACTTTTTCTAAGTATGTATTTTGTAGAGATATTAACTAGGTAGTTTTTTTTTCGAATTTGAATGAATAAGTCGATTTTATTACATTAAGTTAGTTATTAACTACTTTTTGATTTTAAGGTTTTGTTGATCACAATTCATTTTTACCATGTCAATGGATATATAAAATTCATCATTCATTACACGTTCAAGCATCAACTGGAATACAAATTGCTTGTTATTTTTGTCTTTTATATAGATTGGATGTTTAGAAGATATTTATGTTCTTTTAAAAGTTTTAAGACCAACAACAATTCGACCAATTTTTTCATAATCAATATGATGAACTTCGTTTATTTATAAATTTTTTAAACATCCCTTTATATGACATGATCTTAATAATTTAATCTTTTCAAGTAAAGAGAAAAAAAAAAGATATTTATTATGTTTTTTTTTAATTCTTTCTTTTTATTTGAAGATTTATCAAATCTCAGCAAACGAAAAAATGTTTTGAAAGTAGCACAAATGATTCAAGTAATTCGAAAAATTGAACTATTTTATCATCATTCTTTTGAACAGAATATTGTTGATATTTCAGTTTTCACAGAAGAAAGGAGTTCTAAAGTGTTAGATTTGAAGAATATATTTGATCATGTTTCGTCTGAATGAATTCATTTGTTTTTTTCTTTTTAAAGAGAATGATAAAGATTCATCAACAACATCAAGCACAGAAAGTTAAAAAAAGTTAATCATATACAATTAGGTACTTTTGGAAATTATTCGAATTAATATGTTCATAATATCAAATACATAAAAGTTTATTAAATTCATCAGAAATGATTATTATTGTCTATGAAATCAGTTCTAAGTCTTATTTCTACACAAGATTTATCAAAAAAATTTGGAAGAGAAACACTTAATTATTTTAAATCAACATTCAGTGTACACAAGAGGTAACTTCTTCTAAATAGTGAATATTTATTCTAAAGAAAATTTCAATTATTAATCTTCTTTATTTATTGGTTAAGCTAAAACCTTTAAGATGTTGTATTGTGTTTGAAACTTGTCTATGGATAAAACTTTAGATGGAAATCTTATAATGAAGGTTTCTGAAAGGGTCTTTCCTAGAGAAGGAAAATTTCAATATAAGAATGTCATAGTTACAGAAAAACTGATTTTACGAATGTCGATGATCTTAACGAGAGCAGTTTTGTTGTGAAAGTGTCAGATCTTTTGATTCGGTTCTATCTTGAAATTCGAATATTAAATCATCTAGTTTACGTCAGTGATCTGCAAGACACGCTATCAATTCGAAATTTGAAAATCATTTTTTCTGTTAACACAACATTCATTTAAAAATATTCTTTTAATTTAGTTTTTATTAAATCTTCAAATGTTTCTTCACAAGTATTATTAAATAATTCTTTAACTTATATTCATACGATAAGTATTCGACAATCGATAATTTATTTTATTTGGTTCATGTTATGCATCAAGTATAAATAGTGCAATACGAGAGTAAAATAAACAAAAAAACGAATTTGATCTATTCTGTTTTTTTCTTTTCCATTTTAGTTTTTATTGAACTAAAAAATTAGTCTTAAAAAATATATTAATATACAAATGAAAGTGATTTTCAAGCTGCTATACTCGATTTACTTGTTCAATTACTTTTAATTCGTGTTAATTATGATTAATTAGAAGCTGATGAAATTCGTTGCATTTCTAATCGTTTCGTTTATTTTTAAATAGAATTTTATTTATTGTATTGCTGAATTTCTTGTTATGTTATCACATGATACACTTCATTCAAAACAAGTTATTAAAATACAAGATTTAATAAAACATTATGATTCATTATTAGCAAGTAGACATGAACCTGAAACACATGGTAGGAAGCAAAAAAAACATTTTCGAGAAAAATAAATTATCGTTAAAATTCTTTATTTAGCCGTAGCAGCATTAGAACCAGTTTTATATGATTTTTTTTCTTGTTCGAGTTATGCGAATAATTAAAATTCCTAAAAAGTTTTATTAAATGAGAGTGAAGAAAAGGTGTCCTTCTATAAAGTCTCAAATATCTTAGAAACTCGAGAGGGTGTGAGTGTGGGTGTGTAGATGTAATTTTTCTCCTCGATTGAACCCACACTTCAACAAACTGATGATCTGAAAATAATCATCTTGTTGTTATGTATTTGAGTTTGAGGGAAAACTAGGCATCTTAATTATTATAAATAAAAGTATCTTTTCATATCATGTGTATGTACTGAAAAAATAATAATAGAATTTATATTGTTACAGGCTTTACGATTGTTCACCGTTATTATTGATAGTGTTCGAAATGAAGATGATAAATGAAAACGTCTTTCACGACAAATTGTCGATTTACTTCTTGCTCATTTACAATCTCAGGTTATTTTTCTTTTAATAGTCTCTGATTTTACGTTACTTTTTTTTGTTCAAATAGAATCAATCACTTTTGGATATTTATTCCACACAATTAACACTATTTGATGTTGCTTTTCGAGCGTTAGTAAATAGAAATGTCCGTTGTTTTTATTTATAAAATTTTCCTATAATTTAAAATTTTTTTTAGAATGTCAATTGTCAATCTACAAATCGATAGTTAATCAATATAAATATAATACTTCGATATCTTGTACAAAATTTAACTGAAGATGCTATATTAACACGATAGAATGATGTTTTATTATCAGTTAATGGAACACGAGATGAAACTTTTAGTGCGTAAGTATTCGAAATGATTTTATTTATAATTTAACAAGTATTATTCTCGTTTTTGTTTTCAGAGCTGTTCTTCGAATTTTACATGACGTAATATTACGAATTTTAACTAATACTCGACAATTATGTAGTCAAATCAATATGACATTAGTTTCTTTTGCATCCGATTATCTTTATGTACATATCACCCATTAATTTGAAGATAAAACTTTCCTGCAATTCATTAATTACTAATGAGCTAGCGAAAAACATTTGACTTTAACAATCCTATGCTTATATAAGATCTATGATTTTATTTTAGCTAAACAATTTCGAACAATTGTAAATGATTTTCGTCAATTATGAATTCATAATGAAACTGTACATCGTCTTGATATATTTTCATATTTAACTATGTTATTTGAATGTTTTAAATTATTATGATCATCATTTTATATCTCATTATTATTACAATGGATACATATTCTGAATATGCTTGATTATACACAAGAAGCATGCTGGTCACCAATATTAACACCATCATCATTAATAACACATTTATCTATAAGTAGTAAATTACAATCTTATTGTGATTTAATATATCATCATAAATTATATGTTGAACATTTTACATCAATAACAACACATTATCAATTATTATTATTATTTTTTATTTGAATAAAGTGATACATATACATATGTACATAATTTATTTGATCTTATGCATCATACATCAGTTGCAAGTCATTTATTTTTTTGTGAAGGAATACAATTAGATGAAAAGGGTCTTCTATTAGTTTTATTAATTGAACAATTTCTTCCATTACCATATATATATCTGTATTACGTTTAGCTGAATTAATTGTTTATGATTGTATTGAAATGATGTTAACACTTGACTAACAAACATTAAATAAACACTTATGACCTAAATATATATCATGGATTTTATAAATATTATCAATAACAATATCAAACGATATTATTAAAGAAGATTTTAATAATCTTAATTGTCCTATGGATATAACAAGAAAAATTTATGAACAAATGCTTAAAAATATAACTTATAAAAACTGATTACCATTTATGATGTCACCGGTATATTTTAGTTTAATTTATCGAAATAAATAAATATATATGTATAATAAAAATTTTAATCCAATTAAAAGAAATTTTTGTTTTTTACTTTGACATTGTTTATGTGCTAGTAATAGATGAGACTTTTGAATAATTCAAAACTTCGAAAAATATTTTGAAATAGAAAATATGCAGAATTTCAGGTAATA